CATACATGGTGTCCAGGTAATACAATGTAGGATACATACATGGTGTCCAGGTAATACAATGTAGGATACATACATGGTGTCCAGGTAATACAATGTAGGATACATACATGGTGTCCAGGTAATACAATGTAGGATACATACATGGTGTCCAGGTAATACAATATACAGAACAGAAATCAGTTTGGGCAAGTTTACACTTTTGAGTACATACATTGGACCAAATATTATAATGTTGGTTACATACAGTACAATGCGTGCCCGACGGTATTCCGTGTGGATTTTGCAGAGTTATCTTCTCTTGTGAACAGGTATTGATTGTTACCACATTGGTTTGTCTGAGAAAATTACGTTGTTTTCCCAAAAATTGATGACGTTTCTCTCACAAACAATATTGGGTCTAGGTATTACACTCTAAGAGTGTCTGTTCCAATACATGTACTGTATATTTTCCAAAGTGCCTGCAAATTATGATGTTGAAGCAGGATTACGCATTACTGTTTCAGTGCTTTACCAAGCTAAAGGAACCTGCCTCCTAGCTGAGTCAGATACAGCTATTTAGGTGGTTCTCCATTATATAACATTACTTTGTGATAATAACTTCCTGAAAATCACTTGAAGAGTAAGACTAGCATAAAAATATGAATGTACATTTTATGAAACTTACCCCGGTGATATATTAGGTTGAAAAAAAATGTAATAATATAACTACATGTTGTCATAGAAATTTTATGGCATTTTACATATTTGACAGAAATTCCCTGGGGTCTGAGGATCTGACGGCATCCAATATTCGCACAACGTCTACAACCCCAGGGTCAGCCAGGCGTGACCGAGGGAATGGCATCTTCTCACATGGACAGACAACCAGCTCAAGTACTACCAACACCCGCTCAACTGTGAGTGTCCCTGTTATACTCCACCTAATGTTAGGGGAAAAGAGTTGAAAGCAAGTGGCTAATTGATCACAAAGTTAATATTCAGGTACATAATTGGTAATGGGGAATGGTAAAAAGCATGATCATATTATCAGCTACGATAATAAGTGACAACTAAATTTATAATATGAAAGAGAAAGAGTCTTCAAAATAAACTATCTTTTATACTGTTTATCAATGATTTCTTATGGATATTTGAAAAAGCAGCTTTCTTGATCAAATCTGATTTTATATACCGATAGTGTCCTCTATGATCTTTTAAAAAACTCTTCCTAAATAAAAAATAAAAAAGGCCTGAACAAGAATCAGATAAACAGGTGACTTGCAGAACACTGTTAGCAATAGGAAACAAACTTTCATATAATAGGTATATTTCTTTGTGTGATCTTGCAGAGAGTTCCCCGTGCTCACCGAGACCATGATCCTCACCACTGATACATGTGAGCCTCTATAACCTGGTCAACCGTTGGATCACTGAGCCTTTGTAGCCTGGTCTATCATTGGATTACTGTGAGCCTCTGTAGCCTGGTCTATCATTGGATTACTGTGAGCCTCTGTTACCTTGTCTATCATTGGATCACTGTGAGCCTCTGTAACCTGGCCTACCATTGGATCACTGAGCTTCTGTAACCTGGCCTATCATTGGATCACTAAGCCTCTGTAACCTGACCTACCATTGGATCACTGTGAGTCTCTGTAACCTGGCCTACCATTGGATCACTGTGAGCCTCTATAACCTGGCCTACCAGTGGATCACTGCGAGCCTCTGTAACCTGGCCTGTCATTGGATACTGTAGCTCTCTGTAACATGCCCTACCATTGGATATCTGTGGTTCTCAGTAACCTGGTCTTCCATTGGTTACTTGTGATCCTCAGCCTGTCACCTGGTCTACCATTGGATACCTGTGAGCCTTTGTCTGTAAACTGGTCTACCATTCTACAATCAGCTCCATGCCCTGGTCTTTCAGATGACATACATGTGAGGACTTAAGATCAGGATGTAGGGAGCTTTGAGGTTGTCCTTTAGTCTGAGCGTCACTTGTAATATTTCACCAGGACATGTACATGGAGTAAAAACTTGCCAAAATTTTACATATCAACTATTTTTTTCTATCCTGCTTGCAAAATATTTCAGCTGTTGAGAAAGGTGTTTCAAATACATTTTATAGAATGTGCTCATTACTATTGTTAGTACATTTTAAATTAAAACTTGCTGCATGATGAATTTGAAAGGAAACATATGTTGTGAGACCCGAGCGTTAGTTGTATTATAAACCCCGCTGTACTGTAGGTACAACAACAAGACCCCCATTTTTTATCAGATCTGGTTATAAGTCATTGCTGGCTTTATACAAGTGTGAGGGCACTGTACTTATATCTTAAATGTTTTATATGTTATCTGGTTTGGATGAAGATTCTTTGACACAAACGTCCGTTGTTATAAGGACCTAATGTTAACTGTATGTGTAAGTGTATTATGTTTCTAGGTACAATCTTGCTGCAATATAAACTATTGATGTTTGAAGAAGCAGTGCATGACTCCATCAGAAATTCAGATGATAATTTTGTTGATAATCTTTCAGCATTATGTTTGAGTGTAATGAAACATGATGATAACTGATTCATAGCTAGTCATACTGTCTCGGCCCACAATGTTGAAATGTATTTAAAGAAAAATATACTTTAGTAAATAATTGAAATATACATGTTAGTATTACATGTTGAGGAGAATTGGCTGACCCTAGGTCAGAGATCATTTTTGTCTCAATCCTTTGCATATATGACAAATGTCTAGGGTAAGAGTGAAATATAATTTCTATCTTACAACCCATTCCACATACATGACGTCTCAACGGGACAAAAATACCAAGACATCACAAAATCAGGAACACTCTGATGCTGCGTTGTGGATATCACAATGATTTCTTGTGGTTTCTGAGCCATTCTGGTGATTGGCATGACAGAAAAATCCTCTATCATGCCCAGAGGTGTAGGATAGGAAAATTCCACACTCAGGATTTTTAAATGATGATGTAAAACCCTTGGCAAACCTCAGGCTTTTCCCTATTTGAAAAACCCTTGGATGAAATTTCCCTATCCTAAAATCCTCAACATGAAAGAGTCTTATTAAATATTTTTTCCAACCTTGCCTTTGTACATTGTGAGCTCAGTAATTAGCCTAATTTGACAAATCTTATTTTATACAGATTTTATCTAGTTTAGCCAGTTTGTGGTTTAGGAGTAGAAATTTTGTTTATCATCTTTGGGCGTATTTGTGAGCTAAGAAGTAAGTTATGATATTAAATTAGGTACAGACAATGGGTATTATAGAAGGATTTACGGTATTGGTAACTTCTTAAAACAAAACTCCTGAGTTGTAGACAAAGAAAGTGCTTAATATATATATATAATACTCTATCGACAGTAGACAGTAAATAGACCCCAATCTTCCTTTGATTTATGAATTGTCTGTGATTAAAAAAAATGATAACAAGTCCAGTATATGAATGCCTTAGATTTGCATGACAATTTCTCATACTGAGGACAATGACAATTCCTTATACCAAGAACAGGAATTTTCTTACTCTGGACCAACATTTTCTTGGTGTTAGATCACTTTGATCCCTCAATAGTTAGACACCCTCTACATTTTTGTGATGTTGCATTGACACAAATGAGACCATTTTAATTTATGTAAGACATATCATTTTTTTTCAAGAAACAATTCCTTTTAGAGTTTGGTTTTCTCATTCCCCACATTAGGGATAAGGGGAACAGAATAATTAAACACCCCCTCCACCCTGATGTGAAGCAGTGTAATAACATTTGATAAGCGATTATCCTTTGTATACTGGTAGTTGGAGCAGAGCACTTCAGTAAACATCCAGGATCTTGGTCAGTTATATATATATGATTGTCACATTGGCTATTAGCGTTATGATTATTTTCGGTCAAGGATTGAAGGGATTACCAATCTCTACATTAACTATATTTTGTTTGATGTGACTTTGTTTTGTTAGTAATGCTGAAGACATGTTTTTGTTAAAATTTCAGCTGCATGCTTGTTGACATATTGTTACAGATGTTGTAACCATATTCTCTTCCGTGAGCTCATATGGTGTATATGGTCATTTAGTTGATTTAATATCTTACAGTAATACTATAGATGTGAATGACTTCTAGCATACCTGGCCCAAAGGTCCCAAGTGTTTAGCTGATGCTGTTGTGCAGTGTCCGTTGTCCATCAGACATTTACTTCTTACTTTAATTGACTTCAGAATAACCAACAAGCCGACGTTGATTATAGTTTGCCAGCAGCATGCAAGATATGGTGGGCTCAATTTTTTTCCCCAAATCAATGCCCATGACCCACTTTCAAACTCATAGAGAATAAATTTCTAAAACCTTCCAAAAATGTCTTCGCAATAACCAATAAGATACCCAGAGTGATCATATGTGGCCAGCGAGATGCTTGAAAAAAAAGATAAGTTTGTTTGAAAGATTGTTACCCTCTTTCAAAGTCTCAGGGTTCAAATTTGTTAAAACATTTCAACAAGTTCTGAATAACAAAGGCAAACATTGACATTTTGCTGTGTAGTATGTGTGAATGTATAAAGAGCTGTCAAGGTTGTTTAAATGTAATGACTGTGACCTTCTTTCAAATCACAGGAGTCAAATGTTTTATAAAACATTTTGAAAGATTCTCTAAATAATCAAGTTGTGAAGAGGTCTAGGGTCATAAAATTAGCCTGTTGCATGCTAGAGTAAAAGGCCATCAATTTTATCACGTTGATTCATTTTTGACATAATTTGAAGGTCACAGCACTTATATTGGACCTCTTGTTAGTTGTTACATTTTCTTTTGAAATGGAAGGTATTTTAATATTAGTATCTATATTATTTGAATGCAGGTCTTATATACATTTATGATGAGGGTATTTGTACAAAATTCTTACTAGTTTTGTTGCTGCTTCAATAGCTTTATTTCACTATGGTATTTTTTCAGTTTATTTAGCCACTACCAATCACCCTTCCTTCATTTATGAATCTTGTGCTTATTTTTAAATTTTGCAAGTACATTTTCCTAGTTCCTGAGTGCACCTGATATAAACAGCACTAACTTTTATTGCAAAATATAATTGACATCAAAAACCCTAAGATTTTTGTTTGGGGATTCATGTCTTCAAAATAGCTACGGTCATGGGTCATAGGTGTCTGTGATAATGGTACTACCGATGAAATCTGTCTTTAAAGATATGAAGATGAATTATTATTTAATTAGTAAAGTTAGGGTTGAAGATAGAAACCTTTATTTACCGAGTTATGAAAAAGGTAATTATATACAAGACCTTGTTGGAGTACGGTGTTTATGAAGGCCTGAACAACCGGTAGGTCCGTTTTTAAATGTAACATATTCGGGTATAAATCCCAACGGACCTGCAAATGTTTATGCAGGCCTTGCAAGGCTAACCTGAAAGCACCATCAGATTTCTGGGTTTGACCTTATTTCATAAACGAACAACTCTGGTCCGACCGGTTCAACTTTTTGGACATCGATAAACGATAACAGTCCAGGTTTCACAGTGCTCTATACATAAATGGAGTTCTTATCTGGTAGAAGTACAATATGTCATAGGCTATGTGAGGAGTGTATTATCAAATTTCTTACATTTTTTTGTTTGCTGAAAAGATACGAAAAATTAGAAAGTTTGCTCTAATTAGTACAAAAATGTTGATTTATTGGAGAAAATAAACCTGTTAAAAGTCCCATTTAATTTCACACCGAGTATTTATTAATAAATCTGAATTGATGATAGTGCAATTGTTGTTTTCGTCTTTTTACCTTTTGAATCAAGTTTCCAGGATGTGTTTTTTATTGAATAATTGATATTTTCTCACAATTCTGGTGGCAAGATCCTTTACACACAAGACAAACTGTCAAAAACTCATTACGTAGACCAGTTTCTGCTGTGAATATGAATTTCTACATGTTGCCTTTAGGGGAATTTCCCCTACCTCTGCTGAAGACACAAGGAACACAAACAAGAGGCCCAGAGGGCCTGTATCGCTAACCTGAATATGTTTAAAATAATTGGTATGAAGTAAAGATATAGCACTCCATGGTAGGTGCTGTAAGTACATATGAAATTTCAGAAAGATCCATCCAGCACTTGAGATAGAGCGAGAACAAAACAGAGCCCCATCCCTCTGCCCCTAGGAGGGGGGGGNGTAGAAGAAGGGTTATAAAGGTTTTATCTATATTTCCCCTATTGGGCCCCGCCCCTCGGGTCCCAGGGGGGCCACACCCACCGTTTATACAAAATTGGTTCCCCTTTACCCAAGGATGCTCCACACCAATTATGGACCAAATCCTTTCATTCCCACAGAAGAAGGATTTTAAAAAATTGTTATATTTCCCCTGTTGGGCCCCGCTCCTCAGCCCCCAGGGGGACCAGACCCACCGTTTATACAAAATTGGTTCCCCTTCACCCAAGATTGCTTCAGACCAAATATAAACCAAATCCTTTTATTCCTACAGAAGAAGAAGGATTTTATAGAATATTTTGCTGTTTCCCCTATTGGGCCCCGCCCCTCAGGCCCCTAGGGGGCCAGACCCACGGTTTATACAAAATTGGTTCCCCTTCACCCAAGAATGCTTCAGGCCAAATCCTTTCTTCCTACAGAATAAGAAGGATTTTAAAGAATTTGCTATGTTTCCCCTATTTGGCCCCGCCCCTCAGGCCCCTGGGGTGCCAGACCCATGGTTTATACAAAATTGTTCCCCCTTTACCCAAGGATGCTTCAGACCAAATATGGAACAAATCCTTTCATTCCTACAGAAGAAGAAGGATTTTAAAGAATATTTTGCTATGTTTCCCCTATTGGGCCCCGCCCCTCAGGCCCCTAGGGAGCCAGACCTACAGTTTATACAAAATTGGTTCCCCTTCACCCAAAAATGCTTCAGACCAAAAATTGGACCAAATCCTTTCATTCCTACAGAATAGGAAGGATTTTAAAGAATTTGCTATATTTCCCCTATTTGGCCCCGCCCCTTTGCCCCAAGGGGGGCCACACCCATCATTTATACAAAATTTGTTCCCCTTCCCTCAAGGATGCTTCTGACCAAATTTGGTCAAAATCTGCTTGGTCGTTCATGACTAGTAGCATTTTAAAGGAAAAGTTGACGGAACGACGATGGACGGACGACGGACGTTGCGGTATGGCATAAGTTCACCATGGTCCTTTAGACCAGGTGAGCTAAAAAACATGTCCAACACCATCATATATAAGTCAGGGGAGTTGGATTGTAGACAATGAACCCATGTATGACAACGGAAGTGGTCATCATGCTCTCGAGTATAACCCTTCAACATTGACTGTTCTAGTTTGAGCTGAGTAAATGGCTAACATACATCACATGGGTCAAATAAAACCTTCTGAATATCTTATTTATTTTTAAACAATTTCTTCTTATCAACCAAAGGCCTTTGGTTATATTTCGGACGTTATAATGGAAGAATGATGGGCTATCAAATTTGTTCAAACGAATGACCTTGATCCACTCACGAAGTTACAGAGGTCAAGTAATGAATGTCAGTCATTGTGATAATGCAACTCTTCTTACATTTCCCCGAGAATTCTCATATCTTTAACTTTAGTATGAAGTTTTATCAAAATCTTGCTCAAAAATAAAAACTTTGAATGATTATAAAGATTTTCTATAAACAGTGATCCAAACTTCAATCTTGGCACAATGAGACACAGGCATGTTTGAGGTATCCTTTTATTTGCCATCTAGAGGTTTTAACCAAAGACTGAAATTCTTTAAAGTGTCATGCCGAAGGTGTGAGCACTGTACAAATGGAACATCCTATCTCATCCATGACTTTGTCCCATGGCAATGGCAAAGCTTTATAAAGAATAAAACCGGCAGTATTTGAACATTTTGTTCTTAATTCACATACCTGTAATCGATTCCATATGTACTACATGATGTATACTTGATTAGCACTTAAGTCAAAATACCTATTACAAGGATAAATCAGTAACTACATTTAAAACACATTGTAATAATAGCAAATTACACAAAAACCTCAACCAACCTTGAAGGATGATTTAACAGCAAATTGTGTAAGTATGTAAACTAAACCTGACCAAGCCCACCAGCCATTTTACTTCATTTTGAAATAATGGTATGGGATATTTCCATGTCTATTATATAGGTACCTATGATAAAGGTTTGGGAGGTATTAAGCATTGATCACATACACTGCTGTTAGGCTTTGGTGAACCTTATTACCGTACTTTTTAAACATAACTGTTAATTTTCAAATGTTCACAATTTGTTTTTTTAATTACCCAGGTATTATTTTTTATCAGACACTTTTTGACCAAGTTTACCATGACATGGTTAATGCAACTGTTACACATATAAATTATAACATGATGTTTCGATTTTCTATGAAAACGTTGGCACAATATATGGACAGAATGACAATGTGACATGAAGATAAATTGTTACTGTCAGGTCAACAAGTTGGCACATCAGACAATAAAGTACAGAGGAGAGGTAAACTGATTTAGAAGTACCAATACATCTATAAAAATAAAAGAGCAAGCAGAGGCACAGATTGATCCCCGACCACTGCAGTGTATGATCTACAATCTATGTTGACTAACAACAGCAGTAGTGATGCAAGATAATTTGATGATAGGGATGACTGTTTATATATAAACATAACTTAATACTAGACATAGTCATAAATAAAATCTTAAGAAAAGCAAAACATATTCATTCAAACAGAAAACTAAGAGGGAATATTTGAAATTATTTTCTATAAATGCTTAGATATTGAACAAAGATTCATTTGATTTCCAATGTTACCATCCAATGGTTTTTTCCCCTGCTACATGCACATTGTGATTGAAGGTATGCCGTTTACACCACTGTGTATAACATGTGTTTTAGGTTCAAAATCTGACAAAATTACATTACACATAAACATACAATATATCTCTACAGGGAAATGCTACAAATACACGAAAATATCAGCTGTTTACACAAACATCCAATGCTGGAAATCTACTGCAACTTGTCAAAGCTGTACCTGCAAAATACAAAATAATCACGAATAATAATACAATCAGCACGCCAATAGAACGATATTTAAATTGGTTCTTTATAAATAATTGATAAAATCAACACACTTCTACAACAATATCTAAATTGGTTTTATCGGAACAATTCTGTCAATTATTTTCTTTTATTCATAACAATTTTTAAAGATATTTTTTTTCACTGAACGTCTGTTCCAGAAAAAATCTTCAGACTGGTACTTACACTCTAAATTAGTTTGAGCTGCCTGACTGCCACACCAATGGAGCAGCCCAACATGGTGAGCAAACCAATGTATCCGAAGGTCCCCCACCGCCTCTTATCTGGCTCTACAGCAAAATATAGTAACATTGGCACGATATTCCGTCTTTGCGTATTGTAGAGTTATCTTCTCTTGAGAGCAGGGATTGATTGTTACGTCATTGGTTCGTGTGAGAAAATTAAGTTGTTTTCTCAAAAATTGATGACGTTACTCTCACAAACAAATGACGTAACAATCAATACCTGCTCTCAAGAGAAGATAACTCTGCAATACGCAAAGACGGAATAAGAAGATCAGAAAACAGCATCAGTAACCCTACCAACCATATGTTGTGCTACCCACCTGGGTGGTCATTGGTAAAGTTAAGTTTCTAATGATGCTGGTCATATCACAAAAGAGCATTCCCAAAGTCATACATGAAATTCATTAAACACTTAATTCTAACTGTAACTCCTCACAAACAACACAAATTCCACAAAAAAAACCATTTCTGGTATGTCATATGAAGTTACTGTCATGTTGTTAACTCAGGTTATTGGGAACTGATAGGAGAAATAGTTATATATCACTATGTCCTGTGAGAATTCAGAAATTATGTTATGATAAAGCTGTTGACCTTTTTCAGTGTTATCACTGCTGAAACCCATCAACCTACAGTGTATGTGTACATTATACCACAACCCAACACTACGCATTGATGCTGTGGGGATAATGCTGGTCTCCCAATGGAGTAAACTTATCACAACAAGATCTGACATTCTTTCTGTACCTCCAGTGCTGTATCCTTTTGCAAATGCTATCCTGCCCAGCTGATAAATACCTCCTGCTCCGGCTGAAGTCAGCTGAAAAGTAACACAAAAGTTGACATGCTCATTCTGTTGGAGTGTTACCCCAGTAATACAATACAATGAACTATTATTTATTCGAGCTGACAACAAATAACTGGATGTTTGCCCTTGCCCGTCATCAAAATTACATAAATTACAAGTTTCATCTTAAGCTAGGTTAGGAATAATATTTCACTTAATTGTCCAAATATATGCTAGAATTCAATTTCAAAAGATGTTCTTCAAAATCAGCACTGAAATTAGTGTTTGTTTGCATTCTGTTTTAGATTAAGGTTCCAAGGAATCATTCTGTTATATCAGTTGTTAAATTAGCCTACAGATTACAGAAACTTTAGGATACTGAAGGCCTAATACAGTAGCTATTCTAGCCTAAAGATAAACCCTTACAGGATACTGAAGGCCTATTACAGTTGCTATTCTAGCCTTAAGATAAACCCTTACAGGATACTGATCATGAAGGCCTATTAAGTTGCTATTCTAGCCTAAAGATAAACCCTTACAGGATACTGAAGCCCTATTATAGTGGCTATTCTAGCCTTAAGATAAACCCTTACTAAGTTGCTATTCTAGCCTAAAGATAAACCTTAACAGGATACTGAAGGCCTACTACAGTTGCTATTCTAGCCTTAAGATAAACCCTTACTAAGTTGCTATTCTAGCCTAAAGATAAAACCTAACAGGATACTGAAGGCCAATTACAGGTACTATTCTAGCCTAAAGATAAACCCTTACAGGATATTGAAGGCCTATTACAGTTGCTATTCTAGCCTTAAGAGAATCCCTTACAGGATACTGATCATGAAGGCCTATGAAGTTGCTATTCTAGCATAAAGATAAACCCTTACAGGATACTGAAGGCCTACTACAGTTGCTATTCTAGCCTAAAGATAAAGCCTAACAGGATACTGAAGGCCAATTACAGTTACTATTCTAGCCTAAAGATAAACCCTTACAGGATACTGATCATGAAGGCCTATTAAGTTGCTATTCTAGCCTTAAGATAAACCCTTACTAAGTTGCTATTCTAGCCTAAAGATAAACCCTAACAGGATACTGAATGCCTCCTACAGTTGCTATTCTAGCATAAAGATAAACCCTTACAAGTTACTGAATGCCTACTACAGTTGCTATTCTAGCATAAAGATAAACCCTTACAAGATACTGAATGCCTACTACAGTTGCTATTCTAGCATAAAGATAAACCCTTACAAGTTACTGAATGCCTACTACAGTTGCTATTCTAGCATAAAGATAAACCCTAACAGGGGACTGAATGCCTACTACAGTTGCTATTCTAGCATAAAGATAAACCCTTACAAGTTACTGAATGCCTACTACAGTTGCTATTCTAGCCTAAAGATAAGCCTTTACAGGATACTGAAGGCCTACTGCAGTATCCTGTAAAGGTTTATCTTTAGGCTAGAATAGCAACTGCAGTAGGCCTTCCGTATCCTGTAACGGTTTATCTTTAGGCTAGAATAGCAACTGCAGTAGTCCTTCAGTATCCTGTAAAGGTTTATCTTTAGGCTAGAATAGCAACTGCAGTAGTCCTTCAGTATCCTGTAAAGGTTTATCTTTAGGCTAGAATAGCATCTGTAGTAGGCCTTCAGTATCCTGTAAGGGTTTATCTTTAGGCCTAAAGATAAACCCTTACAGGATACTGAAGGCCTACTACAGTTGCTATTCTAGCCTAAAGATAAACCTTTACAGGATACTGAAGGCCTACTGCAGTTGCTATTCTAGCCTAAAGATAAACCCTTACAGGATACTGAAGGCCTAATACAGTTGCTATTCTAGCCTAAAGATAAACCCTAACAGGATACTGAAGGTCAATTACAGTTGCTATTCTAGCCTAAAGATAAACCCTTACAAGATACTGAATGCATATTACAGTTGCTATTCTAGCCTTAAGATAAACCCTTACTAAGTTGCTATTCTAGCCTAAAGATAAACCCTTACAGGATACTGAAGGCCTCCAACAAACAGCAGCATCAGGAATGTAGGGTAGCCTTCCAACCTGAAATGTAAGGAACTTGTAAGCGAATACCAGAGATGGAACATGATGCATACTTCAGATTTGTTTCTGTGAACAAAAACATGTCTCCCATTATCAGTAATACTTGAGAGCGAGAGACAATACGCATAGTTGCTTTGCACCTTTTTGACCTTTAACCTTTAGGTGGAGCCAATGTTGACCTGCACTACTTCTGGGAGTAATGTAGGGGTCCTTTAACTTTGATCGAAATGTTGTCTTTAATGCTTGATTTATAGGTGAAGGCAAGAGTGACATAATGAGACATGATACACTTTATTTCTTCTGATCCAAGACAGCCAATAAATCCACCTCTGCATTGGTTTGCTTATATATATATTAATGTAACATATTGTTGATATGGATTATTCATAGAGCTCTCTGCATTTTTCAACATTACCGTAATCTTATCCTTAATCAACTTCAAATGCTTATGAAATCAATTTGAAAACTGTCCTGTTCAACTTAACTTTTAATATGACTTTCTAGTTTCTACCATCTATTTTCTTCGAGTTCAAACTTACGTGTTCTGGTGAGCTCTCTGGATGCAGTTGAACACCTTGTTGTCTGAGTACATATTTGGGTACTGAATAAAAAAAAGTTTCATCAAAACAAAACAATCAAGCCAATATTATACTTTATAATGCAGAAGAGCTGTATGATGAAAATTATTGCTAACATACAAAAATAGTGAATCAAGTTGCAACTGTAAATTTGATAAAATCCATTAAAACGTTAATGAGGCCATTGATCACAGAACCAAAAACATGACATGTGGTTATCAAGAATCTGAAAATAACAAATGAACAAATCATCTATTTATAGGTTCCTGTATCAAACAATTTCCTGATGTGCATTTTGTTACAGATATGAGATGAATCAATATTCAAATACATCAGCAAAACTACAGACTTTAATTACAAGCTTATGAGTGCATCTAAATTTAGCATTTCAATTAGAAAATCCCAGAGGGCCTGTATCCCTCACCTGGATAATTAAGCAACAATGGGAAAATAATCTTATAAAACTGCAACGACATTATATTAGTATAATTTCCAAATATTGGTTCTGTCTCTCAGCAACACCAAAACCTTATAGGGTCCCTCCTTTCTGTACTTATGAAGCTGGGTGGATTTAAAACATTTACCTTAATTTCCCCTATTTGGCCTCAACTTCTGGTCTCTGGCGGACACACCCTCCAGTTACAAAAAATGGATTCCACTTTGCCTAGGGATGCTCTCCACCAAATCAATTTGGTTAAAATTCCCTCAATTTGTAGGGAAGGATAAGGATTTTAATTAGGGGGGGGGTTACACTCTCCGTTATACAAAATTTAGTCCCCTTTGCCCAAGGAGGCTCTAGAACAAATTTGGTCCAAAAAATACCTCCCTTAGTATGGAAGGAGAAGATTTTTGGAAACTTTTAGATCTCTACTTCCCATATTGAGCCAGGTGAGCTTATAAATACTGGTTAGATATATTTAAACAATTGTTTAATATGCAAACTGTTACACTAAATAGAGTTTTTTTATATTTCCTGATCATCCTGGTAGATATTTAGTACTTACAGTTACTTCATACTGTTTGCGAGCTTTGGCAACGTTCATGCCCATCCACATGTTGACAAATGTGCTGCCAACTCCAGTGAGAATCACGTAGCCGTAACCTTCAGGCAGATCCTCCATTATCTTTGATAAGCCTCCCATTTTTAGTGGTATTTTTTTATTTCTGTAACAAAAAATATGCGTAATTAGATGTCTCGCCTGTCCCCGCTTTGATTATAAGATTCAATGTGTCAAGCATTGTAAGTTTGACCCGAACTTCGGAATTTTACATTTTATAAATAAGTTTGGCAATACATCAACAAGAAGGTTCAAAAGGAACAAGTGCTAACTGTAATGGTATACGTAGACGGCCATTACAGATGTCCCCCAAACTACCCCCGCATTTGGAAAAACAAATGTAAATAGTAACTGGACCGCGAAATGTAGGCCACATTCAACATATGCATGGTTTATAATCCATGGGTTATGAATATAAGACGAATGTATACATATGGTCCAAGTTTGGTTGGTCTAGCACTTATACTTTTTGAGAAACAGAGCTAAATGCAAAAACTTAACATTGATGAAGATGCTGCCAAAGTCACTGGACCGTGAAATAAAGGCCACATTCAATATATGATGCATGATTTGAAATGCACTATAACTACAGTCCAAGTTTTGTTAGTCGAACACTTTAAATGTTTAAAATACAGCATATTAAACAGAGCTAAACGCAAAAACTTAACATTGATAGAGATGCTGTCAAAGTCGCTGGTACACGAAATGTAGGGCACATTCAGCAACTGATGCATGGATCTTTTGAGATAATATTATGTACTAATGTTAATATTTTTCTAATGAGATATTCCTCAAATATTTGAAAGACTGTAGAACAGATAGAGAATCAGAATATAGATACTGTAACTGACTGCGGTACATCATTTGATTTAATGTGCTCAAGGCTGAGATGGATAGCATGGGCTTCTGCGGAGAATATTGACGCATCATTGGGGATCCATTAATAGCATCTTTTGCCACAATTGCTGCTGCAACTTTATGATCATCTTTGGAACTGTCGGTATAAAACAACTAAAACTACAGAATCTATGTGAAAAAAATAACCTCCTTATGTAAATTGCATACTATTGAGGTTGAGAGACAACCATGTGCAGACATACATGGATATATATATATAGACTTTTTTGTAGCCTAATATGGGCTATTTCCCTCTCCAATTTTGGCATTATTTTCCCCTATTTCAGTTTAAAAAATCACCCCTTTGTAACCAAAATACTCCCCCATGAATCTGTCTTGGTTCCTTTACTCCATCAGTTCCACAACTGAGTGATTTTTTTCATTTCACCCGTGTCACTGATGATATTTTAAAATCTATACTGAACAGCGAGTTAAAGATGTAATCCGTGCCCCCCTATCATACTCTCCCCCTGGCTCCGACCTGCAACCCTGATGGACGGGTCATGCACCTACAGCGCATATTTTCCCCCATATTTCAAAAAAGGTTACTTACTTTTTATTCCTGCATTAATAGCTGACATATGTAAGTTGAGACAGTTAAAGAATCTGATAGACCTCGGTGACTTAAATTAAAGGTTACAATTAATTTCAGACATAAGTCACATAACCCCTTAAGGACACTCCAATATGGCTGGATTGGCTGCCACACCAAACTGTATATCAAATTCAATAATGCATTCCCTGTCGCAAAATAATAATCCTACAATATTTCTCCAACATAATTGAGGTACATGCACACTAAAGTTCAGAAAAAACCCATTCAATAACTGATGAAAAAAATCACTTTTTATATGTCCATTTTCCAAGCTAAATAAAAGTCACAATTCAGGAAAAGAACCCATTTAAACTTGTAAATATCATAAGGTTGGATGTCCATGAAGATGCATTTGTCAAGAAAATTGTAAGAAAATGTGTCAAATCTCCAGAATAATGGCATATATATTTCCCCTGAATAAATCACAACTGAGCACAAAGCGAACAAGTCTGACTGAGGTTGGAAAAAAGCATGCAAAGCAAGTGAGATTTTACCTGTACACCATTCACTATAGGTTCTCACTTAGGTAATATGGATTGACTTGTATCAAAAGTCTTGTTAGCTTGATGAATTATTGTAAAATATCCAATCAAAATACATGTCATCATTCTCGATATTTGAAGCATTTTCTCACATTTTTTCTCAACAAATGCATCTCCATGGACATCCAACCTTATGATATTTACCATTTTAAACGGGTTCTTTTCATGAATTGTGACTTTTATTTAACTTGGAAAGTGAACATACAAAAAGTGAGTTTTTCATCAGTTATTGAATGTTTTTTTCTGGAATTGAGTGTGCATGTACTTCAATTATGTTTGAGAAATATTGGAGGATTATTATTTTGTGACAGGAATTGTTTAATTAATGCTAACGGAATGCATTATTAAATTTGATATACAGTTTGGTGTGACAGCCATATTGGAATGTCCTTAATTTTGTGATTTAGACAATAAACTAAACACTTTTTTGCTAAACACCTTTTAAGCAGTTGGAAAGCAAACTCTTAGTAAAAGTTAGTGTAATTTTGACAGTAAAATTAAAATCTAGTTGAGAACTTACAGAAAGTATCAAAGCCTCACAACCAAATGATGAAATCTAGCATCGTCCAAAAACGAAAACAGTATTCAAAAATTGCTTATAACAAGAGTGATTTTCAATAATTAGAGTGGAATTCAAAGGGAGTTCAAGCCTGTTCAAAGTCCATAGTCTATCACATTGTGGTAAACCGTCACGGACGCCGACTTCGTTGGTGGTAGGCCCTACTCATATTAGTATGATAATGATCCGTATAACACATCAAAGTGGCTGCTGCTAACACGCTGTCATTAATTAAGAATGCATAAATGATAAACCATCGTCAAATTGTCTTGACATGCATACAGACATTAAAAATTTACCTGAGAAATCAGTCAGAAGTACAAGGACAAAACGGTGAGTGTTGCGTGAGAAAGAGAAGTCCCGAACGAACAAAAGGAGATTATAATATGCCGGTACCCGGAAACGGTTTATTTTCCAGAATGAACAAGTATAGTTCCGGAAATATTGCCGCTAATTGTGGGATTTTCTATAAATATGCCTTTTGAAAGAAATACATGTTATGAGTAGTGATGGTTAATTCTGAGGCATAACATGGGATAATGTAGTATATATATGCTATGTAAATTGTTTATCTATGTCAACTGACATGCATGACCTGGACAGCTGAAATATATTTATTCGGTATTTTCGTTTGCCTTTGTTTTCTGTTAACTTTTTTTTTTAAATTCGTGTACCTTCTTTTTATGAAATTCGTACAGATGTAAATTACCAGCCTACCGATTTCACGTCTCAAGCAGGGGATGGGGTCTGTTCAGTTGTATTCAAAGGTGACGTTTCAGCTTGAAGTCGAGATAACGTTTTCATCAAAATAAATCACACGTATGTCGATGATTTGTGACATTGACTGGCCAGATTGGTGTGAGATAAGCAGTGGTTAGAGAGTCTGAAAATATGAATACCAAAAAAATCAAGAAAGTGCGATATCATTTCACTGCAATAGATTTGTTGAGGCGAATAAGACTGGTACATTTTGAGGACTGTTTTCGCCCTGCAAGCCATTGCTTCTTATTGATAACAATTTCATGGAATTTTCGCTTACCACTAGTTAAAATAATGCCTTTGAGCAAACCGGTCGTTATTCTCTTTATGCCGCCAAAGAAATGCTGTACCTGTAAAATGAAGTACTTTTCTCTGGACGATTTTCTTACGTTTACCTTGTTCAAAAACAACATAGTTTAATACCTTATATAACAATTATGGCCTTTTATTTTGGTAAATATGTGGTTTTATGAACCTGAAAATTTATATTAACCTGAACTTTGTTTCGGTTAATATATCTTTCTTAAGTAAATAGGTAACCACATGTTCACCTCAACAAACGTCCGTAATAGACAATTAATTGTAATGTCTGGAAAATCTTCCAAAACTTTTTCCAGGACATAAATTTATTAAATATTACTTATACATGAATAGTGTATGTCAATTGTGTCCCCAAATATGCTATTTAGAATACTTTTATCAGAAATGAATTGCACATTTGTTTCGGCTCAAAGTCGTTTACCATGACTGTTCATTAAGTTCGATAAAAGCAAAACATATATGGATGGATAGCCATGCTTTTTTTCATAGTCCTCTGCAAATATTTCAATGAACGACAGCATGGAAATGGATGGTTCCCACACAAACAATGAGGGAGGAGGGAATACTTGTTTGGTTAGATATCACTGAAATATTTATTTTGTACGTCCTTTCTGTCCTGAAAATGCTTTCACGATGAAAGAAGTTTATCTAACAGAAGTGTTACACACATTTGATTCGGCTATTAAAGGTAATTTTGTATATTGTTGAAGCTTTAGGCTTCATATGTTTCAGATACGTTAATTTGAAAAATGGACTGGACAGGTATGTGTTTTATAGAATGATCATGCTCCTTATAAAGCTTGACGATATCATGGTGGACGAATTGAGTAAGTCTGGCAGCCCATGTTGAACGTGTCTCATGACCAACTTAGTTCATCTCCAAACTCATCTTCGCTCACCAAGGGTTACGATCCGTCACGATCCTCCGGTAGACCGGATCGTAATCTTTTGCCAGTGAAAATGCTCCCAGCTTTATCGACAAGAATAATCTTTTATCTCAATTAAAATTCGAACACCGACTGCCTTGCATGTGAAAGGCGAGAGCGTTAACCATTGTGCCATTCGATATTGTGAAATGCAACACTTTTATCACACACAACACAGAACAAGTATGCACATTTAATTCCTAGATATTACTTATTTCGATAAATAAACAGCGAGCGCAAAAATAATAAACGAAAAACTTTCTACTTTAGCGGATGATTAAAACCGCGGACTTAGATAGCAATATAATTCCGTGTTAATAAGATGTGGCCTTTCGATGTGTGTTTAATTTCTGATTTATTTTACTTTCCTGAAATGTAAGTACAAAAAGGTAAAAATTAGCGTATAAACAGCGATAATCTGTCGTTAAAAAACCCAATTTGTAATTGACGATTTATAACAGGTTTGACAATGCAAGTAAATAGCCATGTATATATGTTATTACCCCAATCGTTCGTATGGGTTCAATGGCGGGCTAGTTGCGTGTTGACGTTTGATATGCGTATCACAATTTGACTTTTGATTAAAAGATTTTCCACAGATGTTACACGAGTAAGGTTTTTCTCCTGAATGTATTTTGCGATGGCGTTGGAGATGACTGCTTTGTTTAAACTTTCGTCCACATACATCGCATTCGTAGTTCCGCTCGTCATAGTGTATTCTCATGTGCAGCCTCATTTGAGGACGGTTTCGGAACCTCTTGTCACAGATTTCACAAGCTACGGGTCTGTCGTCTGTATGGCTTACCAGATGTCTTGTTTTCTTTGTGACGCTGTTAAATCGCGAGCCGCAAATATGACATTCGAACGGTTTCTCGCCCGAGTGAACTTTGCGATGACCCTGTAATCCTCCCCTCGTTACAAAGTCCTTGCCACATATATCACAAAGGTATGGACGTTCGCCCGTGTGACCGAGTGCGTGACTGGTGAGTCCCATTTTCGTGGTATAGCCCTTACCACATTTATCACAAGTGTACGGTCGCCATTCCAGATGCACACGTTTGTGGACGTCCAGATTGGCCTTCTTGACGAAGTCCTTGCCACATTGCTCACACTGGTATGGTTTGACGCCCTCGTGTTGCATGTAGTGTTCCCGCAAAGTCTTCTTGCTAGCAAGGCTCTTTCCGCAAACGTCACAAACGATGCGTTTATTCGGTGGACGCATACATAGATGAACCCTTTTATAATGTTTTTGCAGATACATGTCACTGAGGAATTCTTTTCCACAAGCTTCATAATTGACCGGAGGAGAATGAGTGCCGACATGGTTTAAATATGAAACTTTCCAAAGAAATTCTTGTCCGCAAATTTTACATTTGAAATCTTTCACACTGCCATGAACTTTGCGGTGAGAATATAGGCTGTTCCGTTGTACAAACGTCTTCCCGCACTCCTCACATTTGTGGGGACGCAACCCAGTGTGGATGCTCGTATGCCTCCTGCAAGTGGTCTTGTCCCCGAACGCTCGATCGCACACGTTACACTTGAAAGGTTTTTCTCCTGTATGTGTTCGTATATGACAAATCAGTCCTTGGTTGGACGGGAAGACCTTGCCGCAGATATCACAAGAATGTTTTTTCCCTTTCTTTGAACCAGCTTTTGTAGAAGATGTTATTTTTCGTAGTAGCGATTCCTTCATTGCTACTCGTTTGGGGTTAACTTGTTTCCGCCCTTTTCTTTTGCGAACGACTAATACTTTGCCTGGTTCTATATTTTCCTGCACAGGACATGAGTTATCGCCAGAGGGTATTGGCATTTGTTCGTGGCCGCTTTCATCCGAGACTATTTCAAGTTTATCTACAACCTGGACAGGGGTCAGTACATTTTCACTCGCCACTACGTTTGAAATGTCATGCATATCTTTATTACCAATATTAGGCTTTGAGTCTGGAATGTTTCTTGTTCCGTTTCCCTCCTGAATTTCCGCACTCTCTACCTCGTCCGGAATATAAGTCAATATCACCTTGCCCTTCAAAGGTTGATTTGTTTTACATAGTTTTTGAAGTTTCGTTCTTAACTTGCAACCAATAGGGATATCAGCAGTCGATATCGTCACACTGTCCGCGGTATACACACACTTATAATCTTCCGTAACGCTGCCAGGATATACACACATGGTATTGACGCACGTGTTATTCACACACGTGTTTTCATTGCACATGGTCTGATAACACGTGTTTTGTTCATACATGATTTTTTCCGAATGTATTTCCTTCGAAATAGGTTGGTCAGTTCCATTAGAAGCATCGTAACATTGTTCCTGTTTTCCTGGAGGAAGAATATACATGTAGTGGTTTCTAGCCTCCTTCTCGTTTTCAAACTTGGTTCCAGAATGTGTCTGGTCAAAGTGGTCATTATGACTTTCGTTCCTGCAGGTCATGTCTGACGTCGAAACATCCGGCATACAGACAACTCCAGCTTCGTGCCTGCAATAGTGTTCGTAGATATTTTTATAATTTCTAAATATCACACATTTTCTTTTTAATTAGAATATTTAGACTATTTAACCACATGCTTAATCAGTAGCCCAAGTTTCCTCTGGCCCTGATATCAGACTTAGGCCCATACCAGACATCTGTCTGTCAAAATGTCTAAGTCTGGTGTCAGGGCCAGAGGAAACCCGGGCTAGCTTAATCAGCAAATGAAAAAGATTCAGTCGATACTGACTAAAGAAAAGTTCGAAATTGTTTGCAAATGGTCGTAATTCAAATCTCGATTTACTGTGAGTTTCCATAGGAATATGAATCGTTGTAAACGTGTTTTTTACCGATAATCACTCAGGGCTACTGGACGTATACTATGTAGTAAAACGCTGTAATTATATATATCTAATTATCTAATTTAGTTATAGTGTTACTTGAATAGGAAAAAAAGAGTGAACAATATTAAGTATATAATAATCTAGGGATTAAAATATCGAAAGAAATTTGCATAAATAATTTTATTAACATCAAACTCGATATGAACCTAGTTGTCTTGTCATTGTTTACTATTTGCATCTAGCGTAACTCGCGGTATCCGTAAGACAGCAAACAATAGGTATGTCGGTTAACACGACATTGGTGACTATCTTACCTGGTTGGTCAAGCCATTAACAGAATGTTGTCTGCAAATTGACCCGTATCTCTCTACAAAAAGGTAAAAATATTGTCTAAATTTAGAGCAAGAGACGGTTTTTTATATGCGGATTGAATGCTACTTTGTTAAACATAGGGATATGTATAAGCATCGTTTAATAATATTTTTGACACTGTTACAATTACAAAAATAAATATAAATAAATAAAGCATAATATATTGTAATCAGCCATAGTTGTACTCCAACTTTTGGCAAATATTGTTCGAACATGACCGTTATCCGAGCCCGTAATTTAGAATGCACATTCTTTCGGAAACTATCTAGATTTTACATAAGTTCTTAAGAAACACGCTAATTGGTATCATGTCTGGTCGTGTTGGAATACTTACCGAGTTTAATTACGAAGATCTTGAGGTGAGTATCAAATGTCGATATATATAGAACAGTAAGATTAAAGCTTTTTACTTATATCGTGGACTATAATTGATGTATCGTATTGCAGGAAAACCAGGCTCATTCGGATTCATGAGTGGATTCCGGGTTCTGTATTATTTTCGCCTCATATTTTGTACTTTCGTTTTGAAGAGTACACGCGATTATTCTTTTTCTATTTAGGGAGTATTACTCCAATAAACGTGTCGTATACTCATGTATACTTTACCTATCTTAACCACCCTACCCCACTCCTTACATTAAGGTTTCATTTCGTCTTTGTCTGGCCTCGAACAGTCGAACTGTAAAACTGTCCCCGTTCCACTGCTAAAAACTGCAACTACTTATGCAGTAGAAACTGTTTTCCGGACTTGACAATAAGTTTCCTAAAAATAATCTGAATAGATTATCATATTTTGTGGGAATTTGTGAAAAACAATATAGATGGCATAAACACAGCACTGAACAGCACCTAGCTGAATACGTTTCGCCCTCAAAAAAATCACATCGCCCCAATTTTCAGTTAAGTTCGCCTCAAGTATGACAACCATATCGCCCCAAAATTTCTTTTCGCCCCAAAAGCTATACCGTCCCAAAAACTATATCGCCCTAACAATTCTGTTTCGCCCCAAATGCAACCGCTACGAATCTATATTGAACTATAAAGGCAGTTAATGGGAGGTAACTCTTTCAATTTTAGAGCTTTGCCTATTTCCTTGTCAATATCAATTATTCATTTCTTGTTTCGAATATCTTAAACATATATATCATCTAAATACACAAATACATGCTTTACATATATATTATAGATATGATACGATACGTTAGCTACCTTCGGCATGCGTGGAAATAATCTAATTATCTTTTGCATATACCTGAATATTATTGTACAAATATACTTATATATAGAGAGAGAGAGAGATAATTATTAATTACTTAACAACAACAACAACTTATATTACCAAATGATACAACATAATATAACACAAAGATATATATCATGCACAGTACAGAATACATCACTTAATACTTTTGTGGATACATTTTCCTAACATTGTTATTTTAATAACACCTGCCACCTATGCGGCGACACAAAATGTTATGGAACCAGGAAAATAATTGCCTCTCTGATCTAAATAATTTACTACAGATGGTGGATATATGGCTTTGTCGTTCGTTTAATAGCTAAAGGCATCAAAGTTTGATGGCAAGCTGTACACATGTCTAAAGGAAATGTTCTTTATAATAACCCTTAATATACAACACATAAAATCATGGATTTGTTGTTTATTTTAAAGCCACACGCGTCGGTGTATGATGAAAGAATGAACACAATGCTACATTTCCATAAGTCTCATCTTATGGAAACATGAACTGAAAACGAACGTTAAAGGCAACATATTACTTTTACTATTCCGGCTTTGCAGATTCGCCGACCTTTCCGTAGTATACACGAAACAAGAGTTATTCCCCTTAGCACGGTGAACACAATCACATATAATTAATGTAAACTGTCGTCTGCTCCTTTTTTTTGGAAGGGGGCATTATATTTTATTGGGGCGAACTATTTGGGGTGTTATGGTTTTTTGGGGCGAACTATTTGGGGCGTTATGGGGTTTTTTTTGTGTTTTTTTTTTGGGGGGGGGGGACTAGTTGGGATGTTATGAGGGGAGGGGGGGACTAGTTGGGGCGTTATGGTATTTTGCGGCGAACTAGTTGGGGCGTTATGTTTTTTTGGGGGCGAACTGGTTGGGGCGATATGAATAAAATTTGGGGCGTAACGGTTTTGGGGCGAAACGTCTGGCACCCTTCAAGCTGATAGTATTTGATCATGAACATATTCAGCGGGCCTAGACCGGTATTCGGACCCTGGTCAGACTTCAGACTTATGTATTACGGCTCTTACCGAATGGGTACCAGGTAAACGGAAGATTCCTGGCCGATCCATTATATCTGTGACGAAATTATGGGAAAGTTACTTTGCTTACACAGTGCATTGAAACAGAGATCCTTAAAGAGTCTTTACTGACTAATTTCCACTAATTTGGTCTGTTGATATTTACTGAAATTCTTATTAGCGGGCTAAATGGATCTAAAAATGGGGATATGTGAGAGACAGATCATGCAAAATATCTGTTAACGAATTCCAAGGTTTTACCACGCGTTTGGTAAAGCTTTTGCTTTCTCAAAACATCTAGATTAAATTGCTTCTGTTATTCTCTAAGCATACAGGGTCATTGTAAGACCAAAGTTAGAGTACTCTTCAGTTGGGGACTCGCACCCAACAACTACACGATCAAGTTAGAGAAAATAAAAAGAAGAGCAGAATGTTACGTCAACAACAAATACCATAACATAAGCTTAGTTACAGGCTAAACAATCCTCAATGACCAACAATGCAACCACAAAGACACCTAATACTCTTCTACAAAATACTACACCAGCAAGTATCAACAAACACCAACATCCTCATTCAAGTACACCGCAAATCAAGACACGCAAACAACTTATCATACAGACACATCTACTCATCCAAAAGACGCATACAACCCCGTATGCGTTCCATAGACCATAACGCAATTGAATCTCCTTCCAAATACTCTCAACCAATGCAAAGCACTTGAAAAAATCCAAACAAGCACCACATACAATATAAAAGAAATGCACAAGAAACAGCTAATGCTTAGCATCTTAAAAAGTATCTTTTTTTGTTATATATCAAAATACAAATAGCAAAAAACATCACCCATTTAATGCTGCACCTCTGCTCAAAATGCTCACCAGCACTGATTGAGGACTTATCACATGGAAAAACTTCCGTTATGTGTAAAAGTCCAAATCCGCTAGTAACAAGAATATGAGAAAACAATACTGGGGACGTATGCTAATCTTAATCCCTATAGCCTAATAGTACTCCCTACAAATAAGGAAAGGTCTGATGAAACATCTCAGGTACTCGTGGATCCACCATGGTCGTCTGAATATCAAAGTTAAAAGTCCTATCGCTCCTTCCACGTCTATAGGACGATGGTAAATTCCGATTCCTCGTACATGCATATGTGTAAGCTCCTCCATACCCGTTGGCTGATAACTAAGCGGTTCTTCTTCGTAGATCTCATCAGTGGTAAGATACCTTTCAAACATCACCAGCTGCTAGCGTGTCAGTGATCCCAGGATGGAATCTAACTGAAATGAAATCCACAAAACCCAGTCTATACACATCTCTTCGAGAGAAGTGAGACATTAACTTCATATTTTGGCATACATGCACGATTCCGAATCTCTAGAAGGAACCTTCAACAGTTGAAATCGACTTGATTTCGGAATTCCACCATGGACAATACGACTTCCTAGTGTTAATGAAGCATTACACATTAACGAGAAGTCTAATACTCTCCCGGTTTGATACAACTGTTCCTTTTCGTAGCGCTTCCATATGTATATGAACGCCTATAGGCCGAGGAGAAAATGTCAGCACTTGTGCTATCGATGTCATATTTTCTTCCTGTGTCAAGCATTTGTCCCTCGATTTGGAACTGTCATCTGCTCTAAAGCTCCTTTGTTTGTTCCTGGACAGGGAACTGTTGTCTTTTCTAATGATCCTGTATTTGACCCTGGACATGGAGCACTCGTCTGCTGTAAAGTTTTTAATGATCCTGTATTTGTCCCTTGTATGCGATAAGTGTAATGTATTTTTGATTGACTTACAGCTCTTTCCAGACTTATGACAAAGGAAATCTGAAATGGTGATGAGAGAATACAACTACACATGTTTTAGAAAATCTGCAAATTTGAGCTCCTAACGTTATTTTACACCCTAGTATGGAATTCCTTACAAAGTGTATAAGAAATGCCCACGGCTGTTGAGGAGACTATGGCAGTTACTGAGGAAAGTGTGTAAAAAGGGGAAGATACCACCATGTTGGCAGAAGGCAGAGGGATGTTTTGCTCCAAAGGAGAAGGACTCAAAAGACATCGGGTAGTTCAGAACAATTTCCTTGTTGAGTGTTGAAGGCAAGATTTTCTTTGCAGTATTGGCAGAAGGATGACATCTTACATGACGACAAATGGATACATTGACACATCAGTACAGAAAGGAGGTATCCCAGACTTTTCAGGTTGTGTGGAGCATACCAGTGTGCTAAGCCAACTAATCAGAGAGGAGAGGGTGGAGGAATTCAGACTAGTACAGGAGGGAAATGGCCTGCAAGCCAGTCTGTGGAGCAGGCTGGGGGCGCTCTCAAGCACCGGGACATCGTCGGAGCAACCTGCTCAGGACAACCCATTTTCAGACGTGGGAATGATAAGATGATAAGGAGAAAATGTCTCTGGTACAGGGGGAAATCCACAGAGAAGAAGAAGGGACCAGGAAAGCAAGGGCAATGGAATTGGGCTCTCAAGAAGCATGGACGAGATGGAAGCTGCCGGAGCGAAAACTCACATGGACAGACCTGTGGCGCTATGAACCATTGAGGATCCAGTTCCTGTTGCGGTCGGTATACAACACTTTACCATCGCCAGCGAACATTCATCTGTGGGGACTAGTTGAAGAGCCAAAGTGCCAGCTATGTCAAGAACGTGGGACCATGGGCCATACCTTTCAGCATGCAAGACAGCGCTAACACAGGGACGATATCGGTGGAGACATGACCAGGTGCTTCGGGAATTGGCAGATGTTCTGGAGGTGGAACGGAAGAAGAAGAGACCACCTCGTAAGCACAAACCATCCTTCATCCGGTTTGTAAAAGCAGGGGAGAAGGAGACGAAAGCAACATCAGGCAGCACTGGCATTCTGGAAGGGGCAGAGACATGGGAGATGAGAGTCGACCTGGGGAAGAAATTGGTGTTTCCGGACGTCGTACAGACAACGCTTCGTCCGGATGTGGTGAAATGTGGACAGCTGAATCCAAGCAGATTATAGTCATCGAGCTGACTGTGCCCTGGGAGGAGCGGTGCGACCGGGCCAATGAGAGAAACAGAGCTCATGGAACAATGTAGGGAGCGAGGGTGGCATACTTGGCTGTTTCATGTACAGGTCGGATGCAGAGGGTTCATGGCACGCTCAGCCTGGAAGACATTGCAGGCTGTGGGAGTAGCCGGAAATACACGCAAGACGGCGGTGCGCAGACTAGCAGAGGCTGCCGAGCGCGCATCATGCTGGCTGTGGAACAGACGGGAGGAGAAAGACTGGAAGCCATCCATTGACGGGCAGTGAGTTGATCGCCACTGTCGACCCACAATCACGAGGACGTTCCGTGACAAGGGTTGAAACGTCTAGAGACTGATGGATCCGGCTGATGATGTCAGTGGATTCGCAGT